TATTAAAACCAATTGTTCCAAGTGTCAATTATACCCCTGGAATAGTGAAGCTCTTTGTAGGGAAATTTACAACGTGGATCTAGAGATTCGTGGAACTGAAACAACAGAGGAATGACAAATACCAGGGTCTGCAGGAAGCACGTATATACCAAATTCTCTGCCAAGTGCTTTATAAAGGGTCCTCATACAAAATTGAGCTCATATGCAATCTAGTTAGGGGAACAGAATATATATATGAGAAACAATGAAAGTATCCTTTTATAGAGAAGATGTGATAATTGTGATGATTAATCAAATGTGATAATTAACATATTATTCCCAGCTCAGGAGTACTTAAAAGGTATTGAGAGAAGAACTGAACAGTGGAAACAATCACAGAAGTTATCATTGCCATGCATTTGAAGAAGTTAAGGGACCTGAATTTCAGACAGGAGGGGCAATGCTACTCTATGTGGAAGGTATGTAAAGCAGTGCTTTCTAGGTTGACAACAGGAAAGCCACCTTACTGACAAAGAGGATTGACTCAAGAAACACAAAACAGTGAGTTGGGTTCTAAGAAACTAGATAGAATACCTAGATCATCATCCCAAAATACTTATGGGCATCAAAACAAAATGTTCACATATATATATTAATGGATTAAAGTTCAAAGAAACAAAATCCTTTATTTCACCATGTGGCTTTCCATTAAAATTTGTAAGATCCTTATTTTTATTTTTTCTTGAGTACTTGTAGGTTATCTATAATCCTGGGACATAGATTTGTACAGTCAAACTTTGTTTTTTATTTCCTTGTATTTCCTTTATTTCCTGATCAGTGTGCTTACAGACATTGTCTCTTAGCACCAAAAGGCAAAGCTAATTTTTTGTGTTGTATTCTCCGTAATTTCCTCCTCTCCAAATAGTATTTTGTTTTCCTTTCATCAAGTCTCTGCATTCCTGTGAATTCTCCTCTCTTCATCTTTTAATCTGGGCAACTCTGAACTGATCTCCACCTCTGACAATATCCATACATCCTTTTATGAGGAAGGTTTTCATACCATCGAATCTCTTATGAAAATATAATAATCCTTTAATTCATATCATGTGAGGACTCTACCTTATCTTATGATTCCTGGTTTCCATGGCAACTTTCCTAGTACTTGGAACTTAACAGATAACATTTGAGGAATAAACTAGTAATATAAATGGCATGTTTGCCATCACGATTGTGTTCCTGAATCATTTAGATTTCATTTTTACTCCTAAAAGAACAGCTAATCACCCCAGATTATAGAATAGTTGCAAGTTAACTGCATTTCTCAGCTAATGTTTTCCCCCATTGTTTAGCAGGGTTTTTTTTTTTTCCTATCTATTGAAAGAGCTACATTAAAGGTATGTGTGAGAGGTATCAAGAGAAAAGAAAGATCACATGCAGGTGATTAAGTGGTGATATTTGCATGAAGGTTTTCTTTCAGAGGAAGTTTCAGATTTTCAAAATCTAAATGTTTTGGACTCATGGGAACAGTTCTTAAAACCGGTCACCTCACTAATTAGGATGTGCAACACATTATTTTCATTCCAAAGGCAAGAGGAAGGGGTCAAGGCTGAGAGAGAAGGTAAGAAAAAACCTAAATGGGGTAGATTCATGTATGAATCAGCTTGCCTTTCCCATATAAATTGTAAGCAAGTGGCACTTTAACCCTTTGTCTCTCTTTTAATAAATGTGTCTTCTGTTTTAAAACATAGGAAAATGTAGAAGTATAATATCTGAGAAAACGTCTGTATTTTATTATAAAGTAACAAGGGACAAAATGGATAAACATGAAAATTATCACTACTTACTTTCAACTTGTGTTAATTTCCATGGAATTTGATATGTATTTATTCATACCCTTACTCATTCCTTCTAAAGAAATTCAATGATTCTACAGAAGAAAACTATAGTACTGCTGTGTCAGCCAGTTTGTTCTGAACATTCAGTATATGTAGCTAAAAACAGTGGAAATCTTCTTGGATTAGACAGATAGTCAAAAGAATAGGTCGTGTTATAACAGTCCAAGTTCATTTATCGTTATTATTTATGGTAATTTGTCTCAAATGGGTAAGTACGTAATTGATATGATAAAATGAAACAGTGTCAATTTTATTTTTTATCACTCTCTTTTCTATTTTGCGTATTTTTATGGTGTATACAATATATTAGCATAGTAGTACGTGTA